GTCTCCATGGCCTCCCTGAACAAGAGGACAGGTGACTCACCACAGTTACAGGACATTTTGAGAGATGCTCCATAGTCCCCTGGAATTTAGTCAACCTTGGAGGGCAAGGAGCAAATACTGTCCTTTAAGTCCCCCTGACCAGATTAGTATAGGCCTCAAAGTATGGCTGTTAAACATCCAAGGTTAGTTCCACCAGTCTGCTGTAAATCCATCTGGGCCTAGGCTTGTTCTGATTTCCTTATATGTTATGGCTTTGTTTAAACTGTTGATTTCTTCTTGGTTTAACTTTGGTGGTTCCCATGATTTTAGAAATCTATCCATTTCTTTTAGATTTTCAAATTTAGTAGAGTATGGGTTTTTAAAATACTCTCTTATAATGTTCTGGATCTTTTGGGTGTCTGTTGTGATGTTTCCCCTTTCATCTCTGATTTTGTTGATTTGGATTTGCTTTCTTTCTTTTGGTTAACTGGGCTAAGGGTCTGTCTATCGTGTTTAGCTTTTCAAAGAACCAGTTCTTAGATTCATTGATTTTTTGTATTGCTTTCTTTGTTTCTATTTCATTAATTTCTGCTCTGATTTTTGTTATTTCTTCACTTCTGCTGGGTTTGGGTTTCATTTGTTCTTGCTTTTCCGGCTTCTTGAGTTTCAGTGTTAGGTCATATATTTGGGCTCTTTCTAATTTTTTTAATGTAGGCACTTAGAGCTATAAACTTCCCTCTTAGGACTGCATTTAATGTGTCCCAGAGGTTGTGTTGTGTTGTATTATCCTTTTTGTTGATGTCCAGGAGTACTTTTATTTCTTTCTTAATTTCTCCTTTGACCCACTCATTGTTTAGGAGTATGTTGTTTAATTGCTGTGAGTTCATGTAGTGACTAGGTCTTCTTCCAGTGTTGATTTTGAGCTTTATTGCATTGTGCACTGAGAGAGTGCATGGAATTATTTCATTTTTTTTTTTTGTATTTGTTAAGGTTATAAGAAACAACCTGTGCTTGTTTCTTAGTGTCCCAGTATGTGGTCAATTTTTGAAAAAGTTCCATGGGGTGTTGAGTAGAAAGTGTATTCTTTGATGCTTAGATGGAGTATTCGGAAGATGTCTGTTAGGTCCATTTGATGTATGGTATCATTTAATTCAGGCATCTCTCTGTTTATTCTTTGTCCAGTTGACCTATCTAATGAAGACAGTAGGGTATTGAAGTCCCCTACTATTACTGAGTTGGGGTTAATCTGTATTTTATAGTCCTGTAGTGTTGTTTTTATGAATTTGGGTGCACCATAGTTTGGTGCATATATGTTCAGGATTGTAATATCTTCTTGGTTCATTGTTCCTTTGATCAGAATGAAGTGACCCTCATTATCTCTTCTGATTAGTTTTACTTTGTGAAGTCTATTTTGTCAGATATTAGAATTGCAACCTCTGCTTGTTAGTGCCATTTGCTTGGAATATTCTTTGCATCCTTTTACCTTAAAGTAATATCTGTCCTTGAAAGTGAGATGGGTTTCTTGCAGATGTCAAAAAGATGGATTTTGTTTCTTAATCCATTCTTTAGCCTGTGTCTTTGACTGGGGAGTTCAGTCCATTGGTATTTAAAGTTATTATTGAAAGATGTGTATTGGTTGCCATCATTTTGATTGCTGTTAGTGTTCTTTGTTTAATTTTGTGTTTCCTCAGTTATAGCTTTATTTCTTTTATTTTGTTGCCCCTAGAGTATAGTTATTCTTTTCTCCGTTCTTTGTGTTGCTTCAAGTATTCTTTGAAGGGCTGGTTTCGTGGACATGTAGTCTTTCAGGCGATTCCTGTCATTGAGTATTTTTCTTTTTCTTTTCTTTTCTTTTCTTTTCTTTTCTTTTTAAAAATATTTTATTTATTATTTTTATTTTATGCATATGAGTGTATTGCCTGCATTTAGGTAAGAGCATCCATGTCATGCAATGTCCACAGAGGACAGAAAAGGCTGTCGGATCCCCTGGACCTGGAGTTACGGACAGTTGTTAGCTGCCATGTGGTTGCTGGGATGCCAACCCACGTCTTCTGCAAGAGCAACCAGTGTTCTTAATTGCTGAGCCATCTCTCCAGCCCTAGAAGATGTTTCTTTCCCCCTCAACTATAATAGATATTTTTTGCTGGGTAAAGTATTCTGGGCTGGCATCTATTGTCATGTAGAACTGGAAATACCTTGGTCCAAGCTCTTCTGGCTTTCATAGTTTGCATTGATAAGTCAGCTGTAATTCTGATGGACTTTCCTTTATATGTGACTTGTTTTTCTTTTACTGCTTTCAGTATTTTCTCTTTGTTCTGTACATTTAGTGTTTTTACAATGATATGTCATGGGGAGTTTCTTTTCTGGTCCTGTTTATTTGATGTTCTATGTGCTTCCTGTATTTGTATGGGGATGTCCTTCCTTAATTTTGGGAAATTCTCTTCTGTAATCCTGTTTAAGATCTGATCAATACCATTATCCTGAAATTCTTCTCCTTCCTTTATGCCTATGATACGTAGATTTGGTCTTTTCGTGGTGTCCCACATCTCTTGCATATTCCATTCCTATGTTTATTTTATTTATTTATTTATCTATTTGGTCTTTTTGAGACAGGGTCTCCCTGTAGCCCCAGCTGTCCTGGAACTCACTATGTAGACCAGGCTGGCCTTGAGCTCACAGAGATCCACCTGTCTCTGCCTCCCAAGTGTTGGGATTAAAGGCATGCGCCACCATGCCTGGCTTATTTTTTATTTTTTAAAGTAATTTATTGAGAATTTCATACATGCATATAAGGTGTTTTGTTCAAATCCATACCCACTCCCTCCCCTCCAACCCCTCCCATATCTCCCCATCACTTTTTTCTGATAACTTCATGTATTCTTTTTTCTTCTTTGATTTATTTTTTATTGTGAGTTTTAGCCAAGAAACTGGCTACTTTTCTTTTCAGTCTTTTTACCCTAACTGCCTAGCGAATTCCTATCTCCTATTATCACACCATCCCCTGAAGAGGTTACCCAAATTGCCAATAGCGAATCAGGACGCAGATCACTCTGGCATGTTCCATGCATACTGAGCAGGGATGCAAAGTGAGGCAATTGGAGTATCCCTTTAGTGGGTCTATCTAAAAGACTCCCAAATTGTATAACTGTTATCTCTAAGGGGAAAAGAAAGTCCTTTAATCATGAATAGGAGATGTGAAGGAAAAGTAAAGGGGAGAGTAATTAGCATTACAAGTTCTAGACAGGGGACTAGAAAAAAAAAAAACAGGGCAATTTTCAAGTGTTCATATGACAGTCCATTGGAATTTCTTGACAAGGGCTTCCAAAAGTATCCCTCTATTGGATTCCTCATTTTTCTTTTGTCTTCTGAGGCTGGACTCTAGAGTGATGGATTCAGGATTTGCTTTCAGATATTTTGATAGCTGTTGGAGTAGTTAGAATCAGTGTCAGTTCCCTCTCAAAGGCTTCTAGATAGGGGGAGAAAACAAATTTATCAATAATTTTAGAACAATAGCTGGTTGTCTCCCTTAGCTATAAGTGGGCCAAGATTTGAAGTATTATATCTGAGCAGCACTTTCTGGTTAGGAACAAAATTATCAATGAGAAATAATTGTCTAAATCACTTTTTATATGGACTTAAGCCTGTCTGGGAAGTGTAATCCCTTAAACTCTTAAAGAAATATACTAATGACTTTGTGGTTATACGTTCCTTTTGGGTGTTTAAGACCATACAGTTGGCCTAAATAAATCAATTTACTTTTACACTTAAGGTCATTTGAGGGTCTGTTCCTCAGGGGTCACATCGGCTTGGGAGGAACTCCTGGCTCCTTTATTTTACCAGTTCCATCTATGTGAAGATAAGTCAGAGGTCCTGCTCAACCATGTCTGGCTTCACTTGGAAGCATGGATGAGATGTTTCTTCTGAATTGACCCTCCTCTTTGTAGCCTGGACACTAGTTCAAGTCCATCTCGTGGGGTCTCCATGTCCTCCCTGAACAAGAGAACAGTGACTCACAACAGTTACAGGACATTTGGAGAGATGTTCCATGGTCCCCTGGAACTTAGTCGACCTTGGAAGGCAAGGGGCAAAAACTGTCCTTTAAGTCCCTCTGACCAGATTAGTATAGGCCACAGAGTATGGCTGTTAAACATCCAATAAGGTTAGTTCCACCCATCTGATACTTTTAATTATCATGTGCTATGTAGATAAAGCTTGGGTAAAAAACCAAATATTCTCAGATAAACCTTGACTAGATATATATTTTGTTCCTTAAACTAGTTGACCTAACTATGACCATAGAAAATTTAAGATTATGTGTATATTGTTTTTGTTTCATCCTTTATATATCATAACAAACCTATGCAGACTTTCATCACTTGCTTAGGCTTTCTCATTTTTCCTATTTTGAAAAATATCTCCATTCCATATCCTTTTACTATATTTTACATTCTCATTTTCTTTTTTATAAATAATTATGAGACATAATAGCATTAACAAATAAATTTTTCATCTGTTGTGAGACTTCTTTTCCTGTGGATGCTAAGAAATGCTTATTCCCTTTTAATGTTCTAGTGTCAAGCCAATGGTTGATGAAAGTTTTACTGGGGAACCAATGAATTTATTGAGCTTACTTACTGAGATAACTGAGGGGTTGCTGAGGTGTATGTATGACCTGAGTGTATTCACACTGGAAAGCCTTTACCCAGCATGGGTCATACCTACTATCTTAGCTTATCTCCCTGATAGTTTTTTCTTTTTTAAGATTTATTTTATGTGCCTGGCGTGGTGGTGCACACCTTTAATCCCTGCACTTGGGAGGCAGAGGCAGGCGGATCTTTGAGAGTTCGAGGCCAACCTGGTCTACATAGTGAGTTCCAGGATAGCTGGGGCTACAAGGAGATCCTGTCTCAAAAAAGACAAAAAAAAAGATTTATTTTATATTTATATGTGTGTTTGTATATATGCCATTTATTTGCAGGTGCCTGTGTAGACCAAAAGTGGGCATCAGATCCTCTGGAGCTGGAGTTACAGATGATTGTGAGACATCCAATGTGAGTACTGGGAATCAAACTCAGGTCCTTTGGAAGAACAGCAAGCAATCTTAGCCACTGAATCATCTCTCCAACCCCAAGACAAGAGATTCTTAGGTGCAGTAACAGAGTGTCTTTCATAAAAACAAAGTGAACATGGTGACAATTTTCAAGAGTGTGGACTGTCTCCTTAGCACCATGTCCTTTATAACTATTCTTATTGCTTTTGTCTTACTCTTTGTTGTTGTTGTTTGGTTTTTTTTTAGTTCATTATTCCAATGACTATTCTATTATTTTTATTTATTTATTTTTTAGGTAGGGTCTCACTATATAGCCCTGGCTGGCCTGAAACTCATTATGTAGATCAGGCTGGCCTGGAACTTACAAAGATTCACCTGCCTCTGCCTCTAGAGTGATGGGATTTCAGGTGTGCACTGCCATCCTTGTCTCCATGACTAATTCTTGTTTAAGTATTTTTTCCTTTTGTCCCTGAACTTACATTAGAAAGTTCTTTGGTTTAAGAAGAACTTTTTTTTTTTTTTTTTTTTTTTTTTTTTGAGAAAGGGTCTCCCTGTACACCTAACTGGCCTGGAACTCACTATGTAGACCAGGCTGGTCTTGAACTCACAAAGATCCGCCATCCTTTGCCTCCCAAGTGCTGGGATTAAAGGCATGTGCCACCACACCCAACTGAGAATAACATTCTTTAAAAAAATTTTTTTTTACATTTATTTACACACACACGCCTGCGTGTGCCACAGCACACAGGTAGAGGTCAGGCACAGCATGTGGGAGTTGGCTTTCTCTTATCATATGGGTCCTGGGAATCAAAATCAGGTTTTCAGGCTTGGTAACAGGTGCTTTTACTCGCTGAACCATCTTGCTGGCCCAAGAACATTTTTAATCATAATGCAGTGAGAAAATTTATTAGTTGCTCCCTCAATATCTGCCTACTCTCCATCCCTTCCTCCCTCCCTCTCTCTTTCCTCTCTCACTCTTTCTTCTTCCCTCCCTTTTCATTGACTTTCCTTTTTTTAGAGACAGAGTCCTACTATGCAGCCCATACTAGCTTCAAACTTGGCAACCCTCCTTCCTCCTCCTCCTAAATGCTGGGTTACAGGTGTGCACCACCATGCCCACTTGCATTGTATTCTATCTGTGGAATTTGTTGTTGTTGGCAAAAAGGAAAAATAAATGTCTTTTTCAGCTGCTGCTGTTTTGACTATTCCATCATTCCCAATTGAAGCTAACCGTGACTGGTTCCACATGAGAGAGGTGAGAAAGGAAAGGAGCGGGAAGCTGTGTGTTGGAATCGCTTATTAGCTGAGGGTTGCACTTTTCATGTACTTCACCCATGACTTCAACATCCTAGGCTTTTTCAAGAGCGTATTGCCACTAACAGTTTATATGTCATGTAAGTTGGTACATGTAACACCTTTTAGTTAGTGGGGATAGGAATCCAGTCTCACTTTAGAAGTGAGAGAACTATGCCTAGAATGGCACAATGGCTGCAAAAATCCTCAACAATTAGAAATGTTAGGTGGAACTTTTTTCAGTTTTCTAAGATTTTTTTTCTTAGTGTGTGTGTTTTGTCTGCTTATATGAATATGTGTTATGTGTGTGCCTAGTGCCCACAGAGACCAGAAGAGGGTGTCAGATCCCCTGGAACTAGAGTTAGAGACAGTTATTAGCTGCCATGTGTGTGCTGGGAACTGAACCTGGGTCCTCTGCAAGAGCAGCTAGTGCTCTTAACTGCAAACCATCTCTCCAGCCCCTAGATGGAGCTTTTATTCCTTTGCCCTTAGTTTAGTATATCATCCTTGGTTGTAAACGAGTTTTCTCATCCATCTATCTTTAACAGAATTATCTGTAGATGGTAGGCTAGGGGACATGAACAGGAGATATACTAGGTTCTGATTATTTTATTTGTCCTTCCAGCAAAAGAGTGAATCATGCATAAGGACAAAAGGACTGAGTCTGTGAGCAAGACAGAAACCCCAGTGGAAAATCCTGACCCATGGATTGAACGCTACTTCAATCACAAATGCTATATTACATTCCTTACTGGCTGCTACAGTTGCCATTGGCAATATACAGAGAGGGAAAAAACTGAACTTGGATCCTGTTGCTGCACTCGGGTATAGAGATGGGAAGGAGCTAGACCACAGTTCCTTAGATGTGGGGAATGTGGGCTGGGGTCTAGCCATTAGAAGACTCTAATGAGTCTCCAGGACTGACAATGCTAAGGCTTCAGTTCTTCCATCAAAGTACTATGGCAATTCTAGAGCCAGAGTTAAAACTTACTTGCTGTCATTATCTTTCCTCCCTTCCTCTCTCCTTCTCCCTCTCTTCTTTCCTTCTCCCTTCTTTTTTGGTCATTTTGAGACAGGGTCTCCCTGTAGTCCCAGTTGGCCTGGAAGTCACTATGTAGACCAGGCTGGCCTTGAACTCACAGAGACTTGCCTGCCTCAGCCTCCCAAATGGGATTAAAGGCATGTGCCACCATGCCTGGCTCTCCTTCTCCTTTCTTTTGATGTACTGGAGTTCAAACCCAGGATCTTATGCACTCTAGGCAAATATGACTGTGGTGTCTCTCCCTTCCCTCATGGGTTGTGGCCACTGGTCCACAAGCACAAAGGGAGCAGAAGTGACAAACAGGGTCAGGATGGCCAGTGGGCACTGATGGAAGAAAGCCCTTACAGGGAGGCAGGTTCAGTGATACAGACAGCTCCAGACTCAGTGAAACAGCTCCATTTATTCAGTGGGGGTTAGGGAAAATATAGTGTGGAGGCAGCAGCCAAAGCTTCAGCTGATAGGTGCTCATAGTGTGCTTTATTTACATGTGGTAACAGGATCCTATCATCTGACTATGGGGGAATGCGTAATTATCATATAGAAAAAACCTGGGGGTAGTTATATTGCAGGTAACTATGCCAAAGGTCATGTTTCAAATGAGGCCAAGCATCCGTGCTTGGTGGCACTTTCCAGGCAAGTCAGGCAGGAAGCCCCTGCTGAGAAAGGAGCTGATCTTAACAGCAGGGTTCCTCAACATATGACCACTGAACTACATCTCCAGCCCTGGAGACAGGGTCTCTCTCTGTAGCCTCAGCTGGTCTGGAACTGGATTTGTAGACCAGGCTGGCCTGAACTCACAAAGATCTACCTGCCTCTGCCTCCTGAATGCTGGGTTTAAAAGCATGCACCACCACCCCTGGCTTGGATCTCCGATTTCTTATTTCTAGTTTGAGTAGCTGCACAGGAAAACCATAGAAAATGGGAGGCTTCCCTGGAGTAAACAAGAATGTTCTGTCCCCTATATTTTTCATTCCCAGAAGTGCTTCAGGCATGGTCTACTCTCAAAGAAGTCACATTCTACTAGGAGAAAAGTCGAATACATAGACATTTTTAGTGTAGCAACAAGTAATATAATTGTGTGTACATGTAGGCATATATTAAGGGAGACGCCAAAGATAGCTATTTAGATGGTGAAAGGTAAGTAAGAGTTGGCTAGGTAAAGAAATGGAGGTGATAGAAGGAATGATGTTAGAGAAGAGTCGAAGTGCATGGTGGGTTTATTCTAGATGGAAATGAATGGAGAAGTGATGGGAAATGAAGCTAGAGAGAGAGGTGGGTCAGATAGTGAATAATTTTTTAAAAATATTTTATTATTTTTATTTTATGTGTATAAGTATATTGCCTGCATGTATGTGAGCGCACCCGTGTCGTGCAAAGTTGCGGAGGTCAGAAAAGGGCTCAGATTCCCCTGGAACTGGAGTTAAGGACGGTGCTGGGAATCGAACCCGGGTCCTCTGCAAGAGCAGTCAGTGCTCTTAACTGCTGAGCCATCTCTCCAGCCCCAATAGTGAATAGTTTTAAGAATCTGACCTCTGTCATATAGGAAGTAAAGACTACCTAAAGAAGGCTGGGGCTGTAGCTCAGTGGTAGAGCAAATGCTTAGTATGTATGAAGCCCTGGGTTTGATCTCAATCACCGGAGGGATAAGAGAGGTTAATGCTGTGGCCTGAGTTGTGTTTTGAGTGGTTGTTTGAGTGTGTGGAGGATGTATTGGAAGGGGCTAAGCTTAGCAGGAATGCCTCTTGCTTTCAATGGGAAAACAGAGTATTCCAAATAGGAGATCGTGTCCTGGATTATAGTAGTGAAGGTGAATATGGAGAGAAAGATAGATACATTCAACAGATATTTATTACTTAAGGATGAAATAGATAATTGCTTGACAGCTACAAAGGACATAGAGGAAAAAATTAAGCAAAGTTTTATGGAAAAGGTGACATTTGAGGCAATCTGGCATAATGGTAAAATCCCTAGATCAGAGCCTTGAAGTGTGTATGGGTCCTAATTATAACTGTCATCTTGGGCTCTCTTGTTAGCTATGGAGTTGAACTAGATAAAAGTGCCTAGGTAATTTTCAGGCCCCCTTTCCACTCAGATGGAGTATAGCATGCAGCATAAGTGCTAATAGGACATTATGGGCCAGGCAAAGACCACCCAGATCAATTTGGCTTTAGTACTGGCTATCTCCTACATAGAAATCTACTGTTATGGGAACCTGGGCATGTTACTTAACATCTGTGCTTCAGAATCCTTATTAGAATTAGGGAGATGACAGTAGAGCCCACCACAGGGGTTGCTATGAATAGACGAGATATTGTGTAGAAAGTACTTCGAATAGGTATGATACACAATTGTTTGTTACTCTAGTACTCTTAGAGCCACTGACTTAGGAAAGTGACATAAAGAAATACACAGAAAGAAATTCTGGGGAGAGGGAAGAAGATGAACAAAAATCCAAAGACAGGAAAGCACAATAGTGTGTTTAAAGAAATTAGATTTCCCAGTGCCAAATTTAAGGACATGTAAAGGAAAGAAGTAATAATTAGGATCAGAAAAGAATTATCTTGATGAAATTATGAAATCTTTACATGAAGCTAAAATATTTTTTATCCTACAAACAGCGAGGAACTTTTGAAAGTTTTCAAGACAGAATGACAATGATATTCAAAAAATAGAAATAGATTTATTTAGCAAAAAATTATTAAACATATCGTACATGCTATAGTAACCAAGACAGCTGAGCATTCTTTTGGCCTTCCAGCCATTTAAATTCCAGTGGGATAAGTTATGTAATAAGTAATAACTAATAAATGAAGGAAATGCTTTAAGATAGTAATAAGATCTTTGAAGATAAGATAGTAGGAAAATGTATTAGAAACTGGGGTGGGGAATGGTTAGAAACGTCTTTGAAAGCAAGTCCTTTGACCCGTCTCCTGGTAGATGAGGAGGTAAAGCCAGCCTCATATACATCTTGGGACAAATGCTTCTAGGCAGAGTAACTGATAAGTAAACACTTCCTGAGGTAGGGATGAATTTGATGTGCTACAGAACCAGAAGGCAGCCCATGTGGCTGACCTCTGGAAATGGAGTCGGGATGAGGTGAAGGATCGGCAAGGGCTGATCCTAGAGGAACTTGTGGGCTATGGAAGGCTGTTTGGATGATGCTGGTCTAATATAGTAGGAATCTCTGGGAGGGTTTTGAGCAGGGCAGGGAATTTTTGGTAACTTGCTTTTTCAAAGTTCACTAAAGTTTTGTGTTGGAATGTGTGTAAGACCGAATCAGCTCCTGTGCTCCTTAGGCTGATACATTCGGGGTAGTAGCTTGCTGCCTCAATACCTGAAAGGTCTTTCTTCAGCTTCTCAGGATCCCTTTCTGTTTGCCATCTTATTTTTTATACTTACTCTTCACAAAAACCTTAGAATTTAGAAAACGGATTATTCTGTTTTTTTTTTTTTTCTTTTCTTGTTTGGTGTGTGTGTGTGTGTGTGTGTGTGTGTGTGTGTGTGTGTGTGTGTGTGGTGCATGTCTGTGTGTGGGGACACGTGTGTATGTACCAGAGGAAGACACTGGTTGGCCTGCTCTGTGATATCCCACCTTACTCCCTTTAGATATGGTCTCTCACTGAACCTGAGCTAGGCTGGCAGCCAACAAGCCCCAACAATCCACTTGTCTCCACTCCCCACAGTGCCAGAGTTACAGGGGTGTGCAGCCATGCCCGGCTTTTTATATGGGTGCTGGGGATTTGAACTCAGGTCTTCATGCTTGTATACTAGCCATTCTTACTCACCGAGCCATTTCCCAAGCCTGTATTCTGTTTTTAACATTTAAATCAGTGTCCAAAAAAGTAGGATTTCTTATACATGTCATCAGGGGCCTTTAAGATTATAACTCAGAACGTAAACCTAATCCTTTCAAGAAGTGTTTGGTAACCTGTGGCACAGCTGGTTCGTGATATGATTTTCATTGTCGGGGTTGCCTTCAAGGCTGTTTGGATACCCCCTCCATAAAGAAGGTCTCTAGCCACGCTTTGAACTCACACAGATCTGGGTTCTAGTCTTGCTTCTGCCACTTCTTGGCAGTGTCATTTTGAGCCAGATCACAAAATTATAGTTCAGTGGAGTAGATGTACGTTAATAGATTAGGTAGAGGGGGCTTGAGAGATGGCTGAGCAGTTTCTAGTACTAGCTGCTCTTGCAGAGGACCCGGGTTCAAATCACAGCACTCACAAGGTAACTACTAAGAACCACCTGTAACTCCAGTTTCAGGAGATCCAATGCCCTCTTCTGACCTCCGAAGGCATTGCACAGGACAGGTGCACTTACATTCAGGCATAACGCTCAAACACATAAAAATATGTGTATGAGTGTATTGCCTGAATGTATGTGAGTGCACCCATGCCATGCAGTGCCGTGGAGGTCAGAAGAGGTCATCAGATTCCCCTGGAATTGGAGTCAAGAACGGTTCATAGCCACCATGTGGGTGCTGGGAATTGAACCCGGGTCTTCTGCAAGAGCAGCCAGTACTAGAAACTGCTCACTGCTCTTAACCGCTGAGCCATCTCTCCAGCCCCAAATAAATAAAATCTTAAAAACTACTAAGATTGGATAGAGAGAAAAACAATAGAGTGGCTCTTCCAGCTGGGAAGGGAAATACATGATACTTGCAGCTATCCTGACCTTCAGCAAATGTATACAGAGATTATTTAGGTAACATTGACAAATGACCTAAGTTAGACTCTTTCTTCTTCCAGAAAGAGCAGTTTTTCCATGTGTGCCTGGTCATTGCATTCATCTTGTCTGTGATTTTTCTGTTCGTATGGTCAGAAACCTCCAATGAATACAACAGCTTTGACTGGTGAGTCACTTTCTGCACTTTATTGGTATAAGAATTCTTTGGTCTGGTAGCCACCTGGGTTCTACGTCAGGTTGAAAAGATCTGGTGGTATAGCGGGGAGGGTGGAAAGTGGATTTTGCACAGCTTTTGGGTAAGAGGCCTAACTTGGGCAGTAGTCCTGTGTCAGCAACCTAACGTGTACTTCCCTTCCACCCTACTCAGTCTCACATTAAAGACCAAATGCTGCTCACAGCTCTCTGTGCTTCCAACATCCCTGGTCTCTCTCAGTTAAAGCTTCTCTGTCATCTTTATTCTTCAGTCTCTCTGCTTGATGACTGGTGTCTATGCTTTGGGGCTTCATAATGTGTCTTTGAACCCCGCTTTCTCTGCTTCTCCTGCAGCCTTTGCCTCCTTCTTTTGCCTTTTAGAGGCCTCCTGGAGCTCTGAACACAGAGGCAGGCACCCCTTCTCCGCATGCTTTCGTGACTCACCTCCTACTCCTGAATGCTGTCAGACATTCCAGTTTTTCTGGCCTGGTGCCTTCTAACATTGTAAACCTTGTTCATTATTTGGTGTCTGGAGGAGAAGCAACATTTAAGTTTGAGGCTTCCATTTTTCTTTAGTGAAATTCAGTTTATTTTCTCTTTATGCTTCTATAAAGTAAAATCTATAGTTTTTCACTTTGAACATAGAAAGTGTAGAAAGTAAGGACTGGTGAATTGGCTCAGTGAGTAAAGGTATTTTGCTACATACAGTACCTGATGGTTTGAGTTCGATCCCTGAGACCCACATGGCGGAAGGTGAGAACTAATTTCTACAAGTTGTCCCCTAACCTCCACACACATGTGAACACCCACATAATAAATAAATAACAAATGAATAAAATAATATTTTTAATGCAGAAAATTAGAAAATATCTACTCAGTCATATTTTCAAGGGACAACCAGCCTTTTTCCTATGCTTATTTTATATAATTATGTTTATACTATTTATATAATTTTGTTTTCTCTTTTCACTTAATACAATTATAAAAATTCAACAAATTGTTGGAAGTCCTATTGAATGTTATTTTTAAATGATTTCAGAATATGACGTGAAGATGCTATAATGTATTTACTTTGCTTTTTGTGTGGTGAGGGGGCAGGACTGAGACAGTCTCGCTCTGTAGCCCAGGCTGATCTCACACTTGGAATCCTCCTGTCTCCCCTTTTGCCTCCCAGGTGTTGAAATTATATGTGTCTGCCATTGTGCCTGGCTACTTAGCTATTTTTTCATTGCTAGGCATCATGAGTATTTCCAATATTCTTGTCTTGATAAAATGATATAGTGAAATCTTTGTCTTTTGGCTAATAGTCCTTAGAATAGATTAACAAAAGTAGCAGGAAGTCAAGAAGAATCAACACTTAAAATCAATCAGTTGTCTACTCTGCTACAGTACTTCCTCGAGAGGCAGGATAGCAACTTCCACACAACAGAGGCATATGATTGTTTCCGTTTTAAGCTGCCAATGGCAGCATTAAATATTCTAATTTGAGTTCTTTAAAAAAAATCCTCTTGATGTACTTTGTTTTAATTTGAATCATTGCATTTCAAACCATGTTTATATCTTTTATTTTTAAATTTTATTTATTATTTTTATTTTATGTGTATGCATGTATTGCCTGCATGTGTGGTGCAAGCAGAAGAGGCTGTTGGAGCCCCTGGAACTGGAGTTACAGACAGCTGCCATGTGGGTGCTGGGATTCGAACCCAGGTCTCTGCAAGAACAACCAGTGTTCTTAACTTCTGAGCCATCTCTCCAGCCCCTATATCTTTTATTTTTTTTTCAAATGTTTCCTCATTTGCACTTTTTTCTTTGAAGATGTTCAGAATGTTTTACCACTTTCTATACAATCTCATACAGACTTCTCTGTGTGTTCTCGTAAGTGTGTAACTCTAACCCCTACAATTAATCTCTTACTCTGTATCTCTCATAGTGGTTCTGTTTTTTGACCAAGCCTTTTTCATACACAGAAATTGATAGCAACAGCAGTTCTAGAAGAATAGACACTCGAGAATGAGTTCTCTAAGTTGACTCTGGATTATCTGGAGTTGATTCTCTGATTCTATTAAATTTAAAGATTTAAGAGCCCTATTTGTAGTACTAAAGGAGACAGTGCTGCCCATGGCATGCAATGGTAAAATATTTATTTAAGTTACTACTTATACATACCTGTAATTAAGTAGATATGGAAGCTAAGGCTTTGATTGACCAAGTACTTGCTTCCATAGAACATTTTCATGAAAATAAAGAATACAAAAGCTTATAGAGGCTATTTTTATTAATAAAGGGCTGACATTGAGAAGTGTTGCTGTCAAACCAAGTCCTTTGAATTCAGTAGGATTGATGGGATTTCTGAGTTCTGAGGGATACATTGTAGGATTTAATTACCAGTGATAAGAATGGTTACCATAATCCTCAACAGAGATGACACAGTAATAAGATTTGTCTGCCCTGGGGAGACATTTGATATTGGCTAATTAATTAAAATGTCTCTGATGTTGAAATAGGCAGCCTAGTAAATTTTACTTGTATTATATCTGTAGAAAGCCTTTGTTTCTCATAAAAAAAATTGGGTCTGAATTGAATTACCACAATGGAGATTGTGGTCCTTCGGCTTGACCGGTTACCGACTCAGAGAATCTTAAATGAAGGAAAGGCCTTGGAGAAGGATCTTGATATACAGCCAGAAGCATGCACCAGTCCTAGTTTCCCCCTAGAGTGGCTATAGTCAGAAGAGTGGGGCTGGGGCTATACTGAGGAAGAATTTTGGAAATAATCCCTTGCTATATTCTGACTCTGAACTGAAAAATTCCAAGACATCACTGTGACTTCTAGGCTGAATAATCAGTGGGATTTTGGCTTGGGCCCATCTCTACCATGGACATAGTGGGTCCCCAGACCCATCCTCCCATTGTTTCTCTAGTTCTGCAACATGTAGTTGAATAAACACATATTCTCAACAGTAGGCAGAATCTTTACAGTGACACTCCATCATCATACAAAGGTTGTATATATAAGAATGAATTCCAGCAGGTTCTAATACTACAAGGATGTCACATAGGTTATTTTCCATTGTTACTTCCATAATTTACCACAAATTGAATAGCCTAAAATAATACCCAGGTATTGTCTTACATTTGTGTAGATCAGAAGCTTAGCATACTCAGATATATGCTCTGTTTAGGATCTCATGAGATCCAGAAATCAAGCCACCTGGCCTGAACTCTTACTTAGAGGTTCTGAGTGAGAATTCACTTCTAGGTTCATTCCGGTTATTGTCAAAATCCAGTTCCTGGGGTTGTAGGACGGAAGTCCCTGTGTGTACGGTGATTGTCAGCTGGGGCAGTTTAGTCTTTTTCCTCAGTTTGAGACCTCTCCATCTCCAAAGCTCTCAGTGGTCTGCGAGGCCCTTCTCAGATTTCTCCCACTACTACTTCTGCCACATTTCTGTGCCTTTCTCTTCTGACTTTTAAGAGCTCATTTGGTTCACCCAGATAATCCAGAATAATTTTCCCATTTTAAAGTTAGCTGATTATAACCTAATTATACCTGCAAAGTCCCTTTTGCCATCCATCATGTGCCAGGTTGGATGGCAAACACGTGGTCTTTGAGAGGGTGAAAGAAGGCATGAGCATTGTGGAAACCATGGAGCACTTTGGGTCACGGAATGGCAAGACCAGCAAGAAGATCACCATTTCCGGCTGTGGACAGCTCTAATACTTTTGACCTGTGTACATCTTAACCACCAGACCATTCCTTCTGTAGCTCAGGAGAGCACCCTTCGCCCTATCTGCTCGCGGTAGTAGCCCATAATCTTTGTGCCCTTGATGTCTCAATGCAATGCTTTGAGTTCCATATTCTCCTTACTCCCCTCCAAGTCTAGCTGGATTGCAGAGTTAAGTTTATGATTATGAATAAAAATTAAATAGGAACCGTTTTAAAAAAAAGGGTGTCACATAGGTTATTTTCCATTGTTACTTCCATAATTTACCACATATCATACCATAGCATACCACTGGTGTGATATGGGATGGCAAGGGCTATAGGGGCCAACACTCTTCATAAGATACATATGATATATTTTTATTTTTTTCCTCTCCCATTTCTCTACCATTGAACAAAACATGCTATATGAACATAACCATCAATACTTAAGTTAGAGGAATAATCATTACCTAATGACAATATAGGAACTTTGAATCTTCTCTGAGAGAGGGTTGGCATGGTTAATAGAGGTATGTATAAGATACCAAGGCAACATAGGACTGTGGTGGTCTAGTAACTGGATCAGTGCAGCTAAATAGAAACTGCATTTCCTAGAAGTCTATCCTAGTATAGGATTGAGTTAGGATTGATCCCAAGAGGATTTACATAAAAATTGGGAGGAAGGAGTGAATCAGTAGCCATTTTTTAAAATGAAAATTTTTGTTTCATTTTATGTGTGTGAGTGTTTTACCTGCACGCATGTAAGCGAACCACATGCATGCAATGCCCATGGAGGTCAGAAGAGGGCATTGAATCCCTTGGAGTAATAGACCATTGATAGCTGCCATGTGGGTGCTGGGAACTGAACCTGGGTCCTCTGCAAGAACAGGGCTCTTAACCACTGAGCCATCTCTCCAGCCCAGTAGCCATTCTTTTTATACTCTGGAGATTGCTGAGGCCCCAGGCACTATGGCAGCCTTCATGCAATGTCCATATCTGGTAGTTCACTTAGTTGGCCTGGGGTAGCACCTGGGTAGCACCTGCTAGATCTTCAGTTTCTCCAAGTCCTGGGCCAGATAAATGTGTGGGTCAATAATGAAAAGCACACAGTTTCTCATGCAGGTGACCCTTGTCATCAAGAATGGAGATAATGACAGACATAAGCTTCACCTGGTTCTCAAGGGTTTCATTTGGCCTTGTGGGTTCCCTTTTGCCTGATGTTTTTGGTTTGTCCTTACTGCCCTACATTTCATGTTCTGTTTTTCTTCCTAA